GACTCCAAAACAAACACAAATGTTAATGATAGTTACTTAAGTAACTTTTCCCCCAAGGACCAACAAAGTTAAAACTATTTTTCTTATTACTCAAATGGGATCATTAAGATATACGTTAATGGCATGTGGTCAGTTGGTGTTATTTGGATGATATTTGACAAAAGAGGTGTCCCAGAAGTTGGGCTGACAGACTATACCTCATTATCTTTCATAGGAAAAGCATTTCGAGGGAGGTGTGTTTAAGATTCCTAATACAAGCTGTATAATGAAATATTACTGTTTCCAACTATATATTTTTATATTATATATACCTAGGCGTTCCTTAAAAGCAAATATAAACTATGTGTAGTGGCCTTTTTAAAAATCCTTTTTGGAACAAACCAAACTCCCAGATTCCAAGAAAACAAAGTTAGTATGAGCTGCGCTAACTTGCAGTAAGGCAATAGTCTTGAAGAACCCACAAAGCAGGGTTATCATAATAGCTTTGTAGGTACACATCGGAAACTTGGAGCCTGCAAACATGGAATGTTTGGTTGCAACCACATAAAAGGGACAATTTGGGGCTGCCAATTTGTGCCAGTATATTCCCCACTTGAATAGATACTGAAAACAAGCATGGACAAAGTGTATAAAAATACAAGTCCCTCCCAGTGACAATTGTACATTCCTTATTAATATGCCTGACTGCATTCATTTTAGTGAGTGAGTGAGCTTTACGCCACACTCAGCAAAATTCCAGCTATATGGCAGTGGTCTGTAAATAATCGTGTCTGGACCAGACAATCTAGTGATCAACAGCATGAGGATTGATCTACGCATATGGGATATGATGACGTGGTGAGGGAGTCAGCAAGCCTGACCACCCGATCTCCTAACAACAAGCATGGGATACTGAAGACCAATTCTAACCAGAACATCAGGTGAGATGTTAGCAGCAATGATGGAGTGGGTGAAGCATAATGGTGAGTGTCTGCTGCTGGCAGATGGTACATCTGGGTGGTGTTTGCCTCCAACTGGGTTTAATTAATCAACTAGCCTGAGTAATGGTGACCTATCTGTGATACTGCCAAGTCTAGGATGCATAGCACATTAGTCAGAGGTCACTGATATCACACATAACCTATATTTAGAGATTTTATCTACACATCTGTCAGATGTACAGCAAGCAGTTACCCCTTTGATTTACTGATATGCTGAATATTCCTAAGCTGACAATTGAGTCTGTTAACATTTGATTAATGTTTGGTATTATTTCTACTATCTGTGCTAGGGGTGACTATTGAGGGGGACAACTATTGCGATAGTCTATTGCAACATACTATTGCCAATAGTCTTTTTGCGACCAACTATTGAAATACTATTGCAATAGTTTATTCTCCTTGAATTGTGTCATTTGAAGTCATTACCCAAATGAATGTATAGTTTATATGAAATAAAAACAAGTTGAAGTAGTTTCAGTTTCTTTCAATAACTGACAAGAAACCCAGATCAAGTAAACAGTTAACACATAAACTCAATGAAGCAGCAAGTCTACACCCAAAAATAATATATTTTGCAGGGCATTTATCAACCAAGTAAGTTACAACACTATGGACAGTTTTTCGTTTTACCATCAATTAATTGCCATCAGAGACTCAACAATTGCAATCCATCGATTATGAGTCCTAGGCCATAATGCTTCAATTGCATTATTCTATAAGGCATAGTCTCAAATACATTGACAAACAGTTTGTTTATATAAAGAATTCATATCAAGATGGAAGGGATAGGTGAACATTAGGGCTGCAACGAATATGTATCATGAATAGTGGGTAACGAATACGAATCATTATTCACGAATACAATACTGTACTTAAGTGATTGATGTACAATATGGAACGCCTATGTTGACAGTTTTGATTTGTCACAGCAATAACCAGTGATCTCATGACACTCAAATTTGGTATGTAATAGTTATAATGGACAGTACCATGCGCAGTCTTGGCAAACTAACATAACTTGTGCTACTCAAGGCTAGTACATATTCAATTCTTGCATATCTCACTTTCCAAAAGTACACAAGGGTTCAAGTAAAGCATGCTTCCTTAAAATATCGTAAATATTCGTTAATATTCGGTTCTGGTGACCACGAATAACCAATTGAATTCATGAAGGGCTAATTTTCATGGGAGTGAATTGTTACAGCCTTAGTGAACATAATGAAAATTTTAACCTGTGCTTATTGTGTTCAAAACAGATTCTTACTAGCCCCTATATGAAAGATATATGGCCCTTCAAGTACAGTATATCAACTGTTTAAGACAAGCTCTCAAACCCAACTCGCACAGAACTGGAGGCTCCAAAATATAGGTGATATTTAGGATATGTTAAATTTGGTATAACGCTTTCTCAGTGAAGTACAGATTGAAGTACTTTATGGGTATTCTGAATTCAAACCAACGCTCTCAGTGAGACACCTAATCATTACACACAAAGTCAGCGATTCAACCCACTCAGCCTCCACCATGGAAGTCTGACAACTGGTAGTCTGGACCTGGTACTTAGTGTGACTAGAAAATAGCAGCTGTTGTGCTATTGGATGAACTTCATTATTTGACTGACCATTATGGTGGGCTGAGTGATTATCATTTTGATATTCTGCGATATTGAGCTTACATCTATAGCTTTATCGGTTGGTGGGGCTATCTGTTAGGCTCAAGTGTCATTGGAAAGGGCTCCTTTGCATAAAGAAACACTGCTTTACATTCCATTGCCACTGGATGTGTAAGTGAAAACTTTTTCAGAGCACAGCAAGAAATCAGTGTTCACGAATGGTGTTTCAAAGTAACAGGACATTGGGTCCTGTAAGTTTCAGATGTCTGTCTGACCCTCTGAAAATTCACAGGACCCATAGAACAAAATTAAACACACATTTCAGATTGAACATTTCTTATAATTGGCATTGAAATTCTTAACACACATAAGATTTATAAAAAGCAAACAAGTTTCACATGTCACATACATGTATAACAACTTTAGTCAAAGTCATTGTGAAATATACAGTCAGACACTGGGGCCCGCGGGTTGTAGACTTCTATCAGACCTTTGGCGAATCAGCCGGATTTGTCAGAGGGTCAGACACTATTCATGAACACTGAGAAATAGGCCTAGTTCTCTCGGCCTCTTCTTTATGATACAGATTATAACAAACTGGTACGTGAAGGAAATATTATAAGAAACTAAAGAATAGGCTTTGGAAAATACTAATACAAAATTATCTTAAGATATGTTAGAACTGGAGAAAATAATAGAGGAAGAAAAACCTAGACAAATAATAACCAAAGTTCAATGGTATGAAGAGGGGAAAAAAACATCGAAATACATTTGTCATTTAGAAAACAGAAATTATACTAGTAAGCTCTTTAATTCTCTAATTAATGAAAGGGAGGAACTTTTGACTGATGTAGAGGCAATTCTAAATGAGCAAGAGGAATTTTATCATAATCTCTATGCTGCTGATAATATTGACTGTGAAACAAGAAATTTAGACACCATTAATATTCTTTCACTTAATAGATCTTTTGCAAATAATCTGGTGGAAACAATAGAAATGAAGGAGCTCTCTGAAGCTATAAACAATAATTAGAGCCCAGGTTTTGATGGCTTTCATGTTGAATTTAAATGGTTTTGGAATGACCCAAAGTTTTGGCTATACAGATATGTCCATGAAATCTTTGATAAAGATCAGTTATCATGTACCATCAATAAATTAAAGGTGTAATAACTTGTATTCCAAAACAAATCAAAGGCAGAAGATGTATGAAAAACTGGCACCAAATTTCTCTCCTAAATACTCTGTACAAAATTATAAGATCCTGCATTACAAATAGACTCATATTTCTTCTTGGCGCACATATTGATAATCATCGAACAGTTGATAACCCATTTTGGAGTGATGCTTTAGCAGTAAATACTATATACAACATGCAGTAAATACTTGTCAAGCAGAAGAAATATTGGCTGAATCACTGGTTTAGAAAAAGTAGGTTTTTTATTGAAAGTTGGTTTAATAAAGGTATCCACACAATAAGAGATATTTGGAGTGAGTGATAATGTTGTTTTTCTTTTAATGAATTAAAGAATCTTTATCACATTAAAGGAACAGTTTTAGAGTAGAATAGAGTTATCCTTAATATCCCAAAACATGGAAAACAACCTGTTTTTCCAACCAAACTCACATTCTTGACTCAAAACCTCTCACTAAACTCAGCTCTTCAAGATCTACTTTCACTAAAGAAAGGATGTAGAAATTACTATGACAAAATAATCGCTAATGACACTCCTCTGAAGGTTTGTCAAAAGTAGCAGAATGAAATTAATGCAGACATTTCATTGAATATTGTCTTTACAAAATACAGAGATTGCACAAGGATTAAAACTCTCAGATTGTTAGAGCAATTTACACAAGAAAAGAGTTGTTGCAAATGAAAATGATTGATACAAATATTTGCTCTTTTTGTCTATCTGAACTGGAAAATCTCCAGCATGTGTTCATAAAATGTAAACTTGTGCACAAGTTTTGGAGAAAAGTTGAAATTTTATGAATGATGTCCCTGATGATATTTTTATCTCTCACTCTGACATTCTTTTTCGTAATAGCTTAATTAATCTATTAACATCACACATCTTATTAGCCAAAAAATGTATCCATATCTCCAGTATCAAACAGAATTAGTTATCTATTGTAACTTTTTTGGTCATATTATTTGTCAGTTTTCAATATTGTCAAGGTTATTTTTAAAGTCGAAAAATTATTGCACCTAAGGATAAGACTTTGCCTTCATTTCATGCCAGATGGAAACAGCTGTATTGCAGTCCTAAATGTCAGTTATATTTACCCATGCTTCAATTGTATTTTGTGACAAATTTACTTGCGACATTGATGTTACACAATGTACTGCCTATTGATCTGAGCTGAAATTAATAAAAAACATTGAAAAAAAGAAAAAATAGGCTAGGTTGCGTAAGGTTACTTGACACACAAATACTTTAAATTGCCAAAGTAACTGATAAAAAGGAACATTATAATATGATGTAGAAAAGACGTGAGATATGCATTTGTAGTCAATAACCCAACTTACCTGAGATGTTTAGGAACACGGCATACATAGAATCTAGAAAACACGTCGTAAAATTACTTATAATTCAAGAAACCGTTACAGTATTATCGCGTTAAACGGGTGCAGTGATCCCTATTTCGTTAAAGGCCTATGTATATTATATTATCGCACGGGAGTGTGCTAGGCTAATGTTAGAACTTCATACAGACTGAGTCTGATTTAACACTTCTTTTCAAGAACTTCCGATTGTCATGGGGACTGACTGAATAAAGATATATCGGATATGTTGACACAGCTAATACTTTCAGACAAATGAGTTGAAATTGAATAACAATATATTGTACCTTTCATTTTGGTAGGAACAGGTCATTCCGAACTGTGTTTTGCTCTGTCATACATGACGACATAAACTAATGCAAGGTCATAAAGGGCAAGTTACTCTTGATGTGGAATGAAAGAGTTCCTTCCCTTTGTGTTCAACGACCTAAACACATCCTCGCAAAATATTTCTACGTATTTGGCTTCAGTCAGGGGCAGATCCCCTCTCCCCCGGAAAATATTTCCAGAGGAGCATTTCCCCCTAAAACCCTTCTACAAAAACCTGGGTCCTGCCCCTGCTTCAGTTACTACAGTACTGTATAGACAAGAGGTTAATATTCAAAAAGTGTATGGCGGATCAGAGGTCCCCACCTTTCTATATATCATAGTTCGGGTTTCTTCGGGGGCCATATGTCACGGCAGGGGACACCCACATCGGAAGTCGAACCCGGGCATCCAGCGTGAGGTGCTAACGTATTACCGTAGCACGTCACATGCATGTTTTTCGACTAACATATATACCAATTGTCTGGGGCAAAATATCAATCGAACATTATATGTACTTCAGGCGGTCATTTCACCCCTGAAGATCCGGGTTAGAATTGTTCTTCAATAACCCATGCTCCTCGTAAGAGGCAACAAACGGGATCTGGTGGTCAGGCTCGCTGACTTGCGTAGATCGATGCCCATGATGTTGATCACTGGATTGTCTGGTCCAGACTCGATTATTTACAGACCGCCTCCATATTGCTGGAATATTGCTGAGTGCGGTATAAAACTATACTCACTCACACACTCACTTAGGCGGTCATTTTAGTGACAGATACATGAATTATCCAAGCCCTAAGAAACCTTGTTCAATTTATTATTCATACTGTGTGGAAATATTTATTGGAATTAAACCATAATCTGATTATAATATTCATAATGCATTTGGTATTCTTAGTACACCTGTTGAATTCATGTTCATGTATGTAAAGAAGACCACTAAAAACTATATTTTAACATAATGTTATTCATCATGGAAGGTTTGATCTTTAGTACTTATATTATGCCTGAAAGTCTCTTCATGTAACAATGTGATGTAGAGACAACAAAGATCTTAACAAACATTCGTGCCCAGGGTCATATTTTGGCATAGATGTAATCGATGAAGTCTTGAAAAAACGTTTGTAAAACATAAAAACAAAACAGAACGAAAATAAATAAATATTAATATTATCAAATATTCTTAAATTTCAGATAATGACAATATCTCAATTAAAGAACAGTTATCAGTCAATAAATGTATGTTGAAAATGTTTGACTAGTCGCGTCAAGTCCAGTTAAACCATTATGGATAATACGGTGTTTGTAATATATTCCCCTAGGGGCGGTGGGTAGCCTAGTGGTTAAAGCGTCCGCTCGTCACGCCGAAGACCCAGGTTCGATTCCCCACATGGGTACAATGAGTGAAGCCCATTTCTGGTGTTCCCCGCCGTGATGTTGCCGGAATATTGCTAAAAGCGGCGTAAAACCAAACTCACTCAGTCAGTCAGTCAGTCAGTCACAACATGACCACGCCCTCCTTTTAAAAGTGTCCACATCCGCCAACTAAGTGTCTCCACACACTGAAAGATCAAAATGTTAGATAAATGAGATCAGATAACTAGAACGTATATATTTCACAAAACTGCTTTTGAAAACCATAAACGCTGACAGCTAATTTCCGCCACATCATTTATTGCTTCCTAAAAAGATATTAACGGTACTTTCCATTCATCACATGTCAGTCGTTCTGAAGCTATTACATAGGTAGATTGTTTACACAGGCAACATAATCTGATTTTTGTTCTATTAGGTTCTATTATAACAAAGTCGTCATTATTTCAGGTGACATTTTTCGAGTGCAAGTCAACTGCTGGACAAAGAGACGTATATACTTGAAAATAGAGTTTGACAAAAACAATACAAATATTAAAATCAATACCAGGCTGAAAACACCTGCCCATACACTGCAAACTAGAGGTAAAAACCACAATCATCATGTACTTAACAAATACCACCATCGAATATAGTCAATACTCGTTTGTTTGTTTTTGGGCCATCATCAAACACAGGTGTATACTTTCTTTCATCTGTCAGTATCACCGGTTTCAGTTATTTCGTGATGGTATTGCCAAATGATCTCATTTGATGATTACGAACGATCTAATTGATTATTCTTTTTCATTTAAATTCACCAACCGTGATTTGTTGGAATAAATGACGAGGAATAATATATTTATCATTCGACCATGTATAAATTTAAATCATTCCAGCACTTTGAAAGGCAGAATTAGCGCTGTTCAACAAGTCAGTTAAAGAGGTTTTATCTTCATGGTCATTTGTCTCTAGGTAGTAAGATTTGGGATTTGTATTTAGGAGAGGTAGTGATAATTATATCAATAAAATTAAGTCCTGCTGACTGGGTTCCGTCCTATTGCGCAACTTAGTACAATAACTAGTCCAGAATTTTGAGACCAATTCATTCAAATGGATACATACATATTAATCAGTATTATTTGATACATCTAGGCACTTTTATATTGCAACACTACGCTCCTTCTAATCCTTGCAAACACGGCGTGCAGCGTGCGCTGTCGTATACAGCTTGCTCTGACAAACGGAAATCTGGAAATCGTGGAAATCTCAAAACGAGGCTCGGCCGCTAGAAACGTTTGGCGATCTGGTACGGACTTGATATTATATCAATCACATTGTACGTTACAAAAATACACTGAATAAGTGCAAACAACACATAACAGGTGTAACCAGTGAGCCAGATGAATTGTGAATCATTTTACGACCTCATCAAACAGGGGCAGTCTGTGACGTCTAAGTTACTGTCATGCTGCCTAAACCTAGCCATAAAACATAGAAATACGATTTAATTACAGTTTAAATTACAATTCATATGTAAATACCATTTTCTTATGGAACAAGGAATTTGAATTCAGTGTAACCATAGCTGTTTGTAGTGTATCTTTTCACTTTCACACGAGAAAATTCGGATCGGCTTAAAAGTAGGTCATTGTTTGAACTGGTTAATGAGACTCATGTTTCAGTTTGGAAGCAAATGGGTTTTGAAAACAAAAATGTTGAACGTTCTGTCTGAATTCGGCAAACAGTCATGGCTTCAGCAAAACAGCTTGCACGATAACCAGTTCAAAATGAACATAACAATGAACTTGTTGCCTATCGGGGTCATGAATTTATGTTGCTTGTTTTCGAATTTACCTGTAAGCAAAATTTCATTTACGTTAAGCGTTCATTATAAACTTAGCCCAGCGGTGTGCACACTTTGGTGATTTGTTAAGTCACGCTAGTTGGTAAAACTCATCACTATTTAGCTGTAATTGTCATTTTAGTGAAGCCGCATTATGACGGGGAAGTATGGCAATCAAAAATTTGAAAATAGTCAATATTTCGGATCAATAGTCATTCGGGTATAATCGGTGGTCAGCCACATAAAACATTTTTTTCATTTTGTCTTGAAAACCAATACAGACCCTAACCTATTCTTTATAAATACATGTTTTGATTAACGCAAAGGTCCGATAGCTCAATGTGGGATTTGACTGCGGTCGGCATTCGTAACCACTCGTGACATTCCGGAAGATCACGGAAAGTGGCGAGTAGTTACGAATGTGCTGTCGGAAGGAGTAACGGAAGAAGCCGAAAGGCCCCGAATGGAACGGGCGCATGAATATACAAATGGCTTTTGCAACAGTTGTTTGCCTTATCAACCGGCAGCGCATTCATATAGAGTTACTAATTGTGAGGCTTGAATGATATAGGTTTCAGTGCGACTCTACTGCACCTGACGCTATATGATGGAAACAGCAGGAGTTTGATCACGGGTTTGTCGAAGCAGACTGAAGAAACCACTGATTCATGTAATTATTGTCGAACAGCGGGAAAATTGATCCGAAGCTTGAGTTCAGTTCACTTCGTTTGTTGTCTAACGTGGTAGAATTCATACTGTAGTGAGTGAGTGAGTGAGTGTAGTTTTACGCCGCTTTTAGCAATATTCCAGCAATATCACAGCCGGGGACACCAGAAATGGGCTTCAGATATTGTGCCCATGTGGGGAATCGAACCCGGGTCTTCGGTGTGCCGACCGAACGCTTTAACCACTCGGCTGCCCCACCGCCCCAAATTAATGGTGTAACCTGTTCTGCGGTTTGTATATAATAGAGTTTGGGCAAGATGAAAGGTGGTTGATGAAATGAGCAGCGTCCATGACAGTCGGGATACGACGACACGCATCGACCAAGTCAATTAGCCGTATCACTTGATCTCTTTTAGTGATTTGGGACACCCACGCAGGTATTCTAGCTAGGCCACGCACAGGGGAGAGTGAGTGAGTGAGTTTAGTTTTACGCCGCACTCAGCAATATTACAGCTATATGGCGGCGGTCTGTAAATAATCGAGTCTGGACCGGACAATCCAGTGATCAACAGCATGAGCATCAATCTGCGCAATTGGGAACCGATGACATGTGTCAACCAAGTCAGCGAGCCTGACCACCCGATCCCGTTAGTCGCCTTTTACGACAAGCATAGCCGCCTT